CCTGCCCCCCCCCCCCCCAGCAGACCAGGGAGACGCGGAGCGGCTTTTCTCGTCGCGGAGGATGCGGGTCTGCTGGGGGGAACAAGACACCAGCCAAAAGGGGGCACTCCAGAGCGGAAAAATTAATTTCCTAGGGAACAGCAGGAGCAGCAGGCAGTGAGACCCATTGTGTTACAGTCCCCAGTATCTTGTTAGCGTCACGTGAAATTAACAAGTCCCTTCCAACCTGGCAGAGGTGAAGCTGAAAAATTACCCAGTGTTGTGGGTGGGCAAGAATGGGGAGGAGCAGGACAGAAGAGAAGAGGGGATAAACCCCACCCCACACCCTGGCTGGAGCGGAGCAGGGTAAGCCCCGAGGGGATGGGTCTGGTTGCAAAGTGGGTGAGTGGACAATGAGCACCCACCTGTGGCTAAACTCCTGTTCCCAACACAGAATTTTTCTTTAAAATTAATCCTGTGGATAAATTCACACACACACTTCACAGGAAGGGATTTCCATTTTCTGCTCAGCAGAATACAACAGCTTTGATTGTATCAATATTTCACTGTGCTCTCGAATGACTATTGATTACACTTAATACCCATTTCACTGAACCATCTGTAGCAAATTCTATTTGGAACAGTAATATGCATTGAATAAACTTTTTTTAGTTATAAAAAACAAAGATTCTGACTATTAAATGAATAACTGGGATCTTTCAGGTACTCCAAAAGGAAGATTTGGATATAGCATGAAACTTATGATCAATTTTTAATTAAAATATCAACCAAAAAAACCTTCATAGCAAAACAGTATGTGTTTTTCTTAGAATAAGGAAGTTGTATGAGGTGGAAAAGACCCTGATTCTAACTCCAGCTCCCCGTCCTCCCCCCCCAAAATATGTACCAGTTCCGACTTACATACAAATTCAACTTAAGAACAAACCTATAGTCCCTATCTTGTACGTAACCCAGGGGCTTCCTGTACACCTGCATTTTAAATACTGCATACAGATGTGGTTGCCTCGTCTCAAAAAATTTATCTTGACATTGAAAAAAGTTTATAAAAGGGCAACAAAAATGAGTAGGGATATGGAATGGCTTCCATATAAGGAGAGATTAAGAAGACTTGGACTTTTCAGTTTGGAAAAGCGATGACTAAAGGAGACATAATAGAGGTCTATAAAATCATGACTAATGTGAAGAAAGTAAATAAGAAAAAGTTATGTACTTGATCCCATAACACAAGAACTAGGGGGTCTCCAAATGAAATTAATGGATAGCAAATTTAAAACAAACAAAAGGAAGTAGTTTTTCACTCAACGTGCAGTCAACCTGTGGAACTACTTACCAAAAGAGGTTATGAATGCCAGGTCTTTAACATGGATCAAAGAAGAGTTACATAAATCCATGGAGGATAGGTCCAGCAATGTCTGTTAGCAAGGATGGACAGGAATGGTGTCCCTGGTCTGTGTTTAATAAGCTGGGAATGGGCCAGAGGAGCTATATTACTGGATGATTACCTATTCTGTTCATTCCCTCTGGGGTACCTAGCATTGGCCACTGTCAGAAGACAGGAAACTGGGCTAGATGGACCTTTGGCATGACCCAGTATGACTGTTCTTTTGTTCTTATACATTGCATTGTATGTGGCTTTGAAGCCAAGAATACAGGTTTTTGCTGACTTACATTTTAGTTTTTAATTTCCTCTCTTTGTGTCCTGCGTTCTTTTATTTTTTAGAAAAAGGCCTAATTGCTATCAGCACATAGTTTTATTCTCAAGGGTTGTGGGTATATCTATTCACTAATTCATTCTTTGGATTTGCTGCAAAGAGCCTCTTACATCATAATAATTAGAGATGGAAAGACATTTTAGGTCATCTTTTCCTTTCCCTTGATAATGTGAGGCCGTGCCCTGCACTAAATCTTCCAATCCAATTTTAAATAACTCATGAAATGGGGCTTCTGTGACTTCCCTTGAGAAATACCTTCAGAGTTTTCATTGTGCATTCAGATAGGAGGGGGAATGAATCAGCTGAAATCGCTGTGCATTTCTGTGTGTTGTAAGGCCAACCAACACAACTGACTCTATATTAATTGGTAGCACCAGCTGCATTTGTAGATATGGCCTACGTAGATTTCCAGAAAGCCTTTGACAAGGTCCCTCACCAAAGGCTCTTAAGTAAAGTTAGTTGTCACGGGGTAAGTGGGAAGGTCCTTTCATGGATTGATAACTGGTTAAAAGACCGGAAACAAAGGGTAGGAATAAATGGTCAGTTTTCAGAATGGAGAGGTAACCAGTGGGGTACTCCCAAAGGTCTTTCCTGGGTCCACTCCTATTCAGTTTCATTTTATAAATGATCTGGAGAAAGAGGTAAACAGTGAGGGAGCAAAATTTGCAAATGATACTAAATTGCTCAAGATAGTTAAGACCAAAGCAGACTGTGAAGAGCTTCAAAAAGATCTCACCAAACTAAATGATTGGGCAGCAAAATGGCAAATGAAATGCAATGTTGATAAATTTAAAGTAATGCACATTGGAAACAATAATCCTAACTATCCATACAATATGATGGGAACTAATTTAGCTACAACTATTCAAGAGAGAGATCTTGGAGTCATTGTGGATAGTTCTCTGAAAACATCCATTCAGTGTGCAGCGGCAGTCAAAAAAGCAAACAGAATGTTAGGAATCATTAAAAAAAGGGATAAAGAATAAGACACAGAATATCTTATTACTTCTGTATAAAAACCATGGTACGCCCACATCTTGAATACTGCATTCAGATATGGACACTTCATCTCAAAAGAGATATATTAGCATTGGAAAAGGTTCAGAAAAGGGCAACAAAAATGATTAGAGGTTTGGAACGCGTCTCATATGAAGAGAGATTTAAAAAATAGACAGCTTAAGGAACACTCTAAAAGTTCACTATGAGATTCTCACAACAAATTTTTTGGTGGCCTCAAGAATGGGGCCACCAAGTCCTGCTAGTGGCTGGTGTGACAATGTTTCCTAAAATACTTAGGTAATTTTAAGCAAAACAAGCCAATATGCACATACACATGTCTAAATTGTAATTTATTTATGAAAGGTTTTTTTCAGTCTCAGTAACAAAAAGAAATGTGCACGTCTCTCTTCTTTACTGGACCTAAATAGAATACACACACAAATAAGGTGCTTTTTTGTTTCATTTGCTGCTTTAAAAAAAAAAAAGACTTGATAGCTAGTAAATCTGCTGCTGTGAAAAGTGATACTTCTCACAGCCTCCTAGGGAGTTACTAAATCTGCTGTGACAAGTGATATTAACAAACATATAAATACCACTTTTCACAGCAGATTTACTCAGGGACAAAGTAAGCCTTGGATGGAGAGATGGGTGGGAAGGCAGCAGGGGCCAGAGAGGATGACGGGATGTTTTGATTTAATGGGAACAAACAAAGCCAATATTCAGGGCTTTGTCTTATATACTCCCTACCTGCATCCTGATTTTTTGCACTTGCTATCTGACTGCCTTGGAGCCAGGGGTGAAGCTCCACGCCTGGGTTATGGAGTCCAAAGCCCTGAAGCTGTAATCTAGGGCCTATGGCCCAACCCTAAAGTCTTGTGGCCAGGCGATCGACTCTGCCATTGCATGACTAAAGTCCAAAGCACCGTGGCTGGAACCTGCTGCCCATCCCCTGGAGATGAAGTCTAATGCCACCACCTCAAGATGGGGGAACTCACTGTCTGCTTGTTCCTTTAAGATTTGTATTTTCAGAGGCACGCAGATCCAATGCCTGCTGGGGAACCTGGAGGAGGGGGCCACTTTTTCCCCCTTACCCTCAGTCACCATCCAGTAGGCTGTGGATGCAAGAAACCCTGGTGGTTACATTTGAGAAATGCTGGCCTAGAAAGCGTGAGGCAGTGCCAGTAACCTTGTTCTTCTGATCACCATTGCTAGGCTGTAAACACAAGATCATCCTTCTGCCCTTGTGGTTGTATGATTGCACAAGACCCATGAGATGTCTTTGGATTAAGAAGCAGAGCTTTCGAATGCCTGATTATTTTTTTATTTGACCACTACTATAGAAATAATAAAATTAGTTTAGGGTGGGCCCAAAACATTATGTTTTCAATATTTTTTTGTTGAAAAAATCCCAAAATCTGGTTGGGGTTAAGGGAAACTATTTTATTGGAGTTTTTACATTTTTTCATAAAATTGAAGAAAATTTACAAGGAGCAAAAATTACTAGCTATCAAGGCTGGCAAAAAACCAAAGGAAACAACAACAACTTAGTTGTGTTTCTGTTCCATTTAGGCTTAGTAAAGAATATCGACATATATGCATATTTTTGTTATTGAGTCTGTGAAATTACAATTTAGACATGTGTATGTGCATATTTGCTTGTTTTTCCTAAAGATACCTAAATATTTTAGGAACTATTGTAACAATGGCCACTAGCAAGAGTTGGTGGCTACACTCTTGAAGGCAACAAAACATTGTTGTGAGAACCCCCTAAGAAATTTTCAGAATGCTCCTTACGCTGTCTATTTACCCCAGATCTAAAAGGAGAATAGTATTGTTTCCCTTTATTCCCAGGATTTTGTCAGGCTTAATCTATTGAAGGATTTTGAGGTTTTCAGATGAAAAGCACAAATCATTGTCAAACAATGAACAGGTTATTCTTACCCCGCACTACAGAGTGCCATTAGCCTTCATTTAATGACTGATCCATGTAAAGTTCCAGACAGTTTACTACTACCAGTACTAGTAACCATAGAGTTTATAATGCTATACTTGTACACAAGTAAACAGGCAACATTTAAGACAGAAATATGATGAATTGTGTTATAATGGATTGAACTATGGAAAAGAGGGGTTTTTATGGTGATGTGAGCAATTAGTCCAAGAGAATTGACCCCTCTGAGTCATGATTGAGATTGACCTGTGGAATTCTATGTTGTTAGGAATTAATGAGCTGTTGAATAAGGTTATGGACCTTCATTTAGAGTAGATTATGATTGTGTGGTTGGTGAATAGGACAATTGTTTTCCTCCAGGCTATGTAGTAGTAATTGAACAGGAAAAAGAGATGGTAAAGTCAGGTAGAGTGTATGCATCTTTGTGATTCTGCACTGTTGCCTCTTGCCTACTGATTAGAATACATTTGAGTTGGACCAACAAAATAATGTCCATATTTTAATTTGTCTTTCTTTACAGGAAAATAAAGTCCTTTAATTAAAAGAATTTGAGGGGAAATGAGAAAATAAAAGGCAAATAAAGGATTTAGGCAACTGTGTGTTGTATCTACTCTAACTCCAAAACCACACACAAAATACCTGCACGCATACACTAAGGATGTGAATGACTAGTCGACTTTATCAGAAAGAGGCAGCAAGGGGGTGGGGGGAGAAGTGGAGGGGGTATTTCAAAGCGGCAGTGTTGCATGCAGCCTGGGGCCAGACCCCGGGCTCCATGCAGCCCGGCTGCTTTGAAACATCGCATGCAGCCCAGGGTAAGTTGGGTTGTCCCCAGGCTGTATGTGGTACGGCAAAGCGGCAGCAACGCGTGGAGCCCGGAATCAGCTGGGGACTCTCCGTGTGGCGCTGCCGCTTTGAAATGCCATGAGGAGTCTGACAACGGATTCACCACGGTTTTTCAAAGCGGCAACACCACATGAAGCCCGCGGTCAGCAGGGGAGTCCCTAGCTGACCCCGGGCTTCATGTGGCACTTTCTCCTTTAAAATGCAGCAGCAGCCCTAGGGCTGTTGCTGCACTTCAAAGGCAGAGGCGCCCTATCGACTCATTGAATAGTCAATGCAAAGTGCATCGACTATTCGATTAGTCAGTTACTCAATATTTAACATCCCTACCATACACATGCAGATTTACATTCTGCAACTTCTGTATAAAAATTACTACCAGATTGAGGCTGATCACAAGCTACATAGATGGCCAGTGACTAAGGCTTTTCTCTGATGTTTAGGTGAAGTTACCCTATTCCCATCATTTGTAATGTGACACAATAACTCACTTTCTTAAGGTAGAAAACCGGATACCAAAAAATGTGTAAAGTGATTTTATAAAAGCTGTACTGAGCCCAAGTTAATTGTTAAAACACATTACTATTACCAATATTAATTGGTAATATTACCAGTAAGCCAGGATGCACTTTAATTGCTCAGAATGAGCATAGAATGATGTGGGTTATGGGTGACGGTGGGTAGATAATGGAATACTGTCTATATATGTATATTTACTGTGCCTTAGACTTGATCCTAATTGGAGTTTTTAGGTGCTACTGTAAAACTACTGCTAATAGTTTGTTGTACAATTGGGCCAAAATCTCCTGCCAGTTATATTCTCTCCCCCTCCCTCCCCAGCCATTGAGAACTTATATTGCTTGTAATGAGGAAGGCTGCCGTTGGGAGTTAAATTCCGCTCTGCCTTTTACAGATTAGTGAAGCAAAATGGGACTCTTAAGTGGATTTCAGGGGAATTGGGAAATCAGTCCTAAAGCCTTATGCCCGAGGGAGAGGCCTGTAATGATGCATGGTTTCTATAATGAGACTTCCAAGTCTACATGGGGGTTTGTCACTCTTGCTACCTGTGAAAGTGTTCAGCTAGTTGTACTGCTCTTGAACAAGTCCCTCTGTATTTTGCAGTGGCTGCTGCTTTGCAGCCCTCTGCTACAAGTTGGACCTCCCCGATCTGGCTCCCTCGGGACATGACCAGTCCCAGCCAAGGGAGTTTTTTGAACCAGGGAAGGTCGGGATGAGGTGGGGTGTGGGGCGCCAGCCTTTCCACTGGGCTCCTCTCCCCAGTTACCTGCCACAGCTGCCCTGACCCCCTGCCTGCAGCAGCCCTGCAAACTCCTCAGCCCTGCCACACCCGGGAGCTCCGGAGGCAGCCCTACATGCAGTTGCAACCCTACCAGCTGTGAGCTCTGCAGCCCTCCCTCTTCCTAGCCCCACCAGCTGTGTGCCATATGCTCTTCCTGCCTCCCCTCATGAGGGCTCTTGCTCCCCTTCCGGCTGTGGGCTCTGGTGCCCCGTGGGCTGTGTTGCCCTGCTGGCTCTGCCAGTCAGCTCTGCTCCCAGCCACTGACAACCTTTGTGCTGGGGCTCTGTAGTCCGGCAACATCCATGGTCCTTCTGGACCATAGAGGTTCAATCTGTAGTATGCACACTTGTGTACTATACAGACTTGGGCAGAGATGAAGGTGCGTCCATATGGCTCCTTCATCTGCAAGAATCCACCGCGTGGGAAGCACATACCGTGGAGTTGGTGTGCAGGATCATTTATTTTTGTTTGATAGCGTGTTCCAATTTTTCTGAGTGGGACAAGGCCCCAGGTGCCTTGATGGCAGAATCAGCTTGCCTCATTTATGGAGACCATACCTCTTGCTTTTGCTCAGCAGTCAGTGAACTGATGGCTTCATTTTTCTCAGATAACAAACAATGTGTGTTTATTAACTGAGATGCAGGTGTTTTAATTGGTTCATCTGTCTGACTCAACAGGAGCGTCTCCTGCTCTCTGTACTTCCTCGTCATGTTGCCATGGAGATGAAAGCCGACATTAATGCCAAACAGGAGGATATGATGTTTCATAAGATCTACATCCAGAAGCACGACAATGTCAGGTAAGAGCTGCTGACTGAATCCCAGCTGGCAAGGGAGGCAGGGGGCCATACTGAGCCCCACCCCCAAGTTACAGAGAATTAAAGTACGCAGATGGCAGGGACACACAATCCAAAATAAGTAACAGCTAGAAAATTGAATTAAAAAGCAGCCCTAACAGACATCCGTGAGTTTGTGCGTGGGATGGGGCAGCAGCATTCTCTGCATCTGCAGCATCTTCCTTTTGGGAAGTAGTTTCTACAATATTCTGCTTCCAAGAACTTTTCCTAGAACCCTTCACGCTTTTTAGAAAGGTGCTGAGGATTGACAAGTTTGGTTGCTTGTTTAAGTGTTGAGTAAGCCAGTTCTGATTTGCAGCCCTTGGGTGAGAAAAGAACTGCAGAGTCAAATTGCTCTTAAGGTGACTTGAATATTCACCACTGGCCTTAAACAACAAGCTTTGTTATCAGCGAGAACGGGCAGCTACAGACAGCATACCAGTGTTTCACAGCTCCTCGGCCTAGCCCTTTAGAGAAGGTCCCACAAGAAACAGACACTGACTTTATGGTGAGCAGTCCACAATCAAATACAATGTGTGTGTATTGCTGAGAGTCTTGCAAGTATTTTTAAGCACTGTCACGCCCATTGATTTCAAGGGAAGCTGGAGATACAGTAGCAGCTTGGATAGTGAGAGAGGTGTTTGGAAGAACAGAGAGGGGATGAAGAAATATTAATTTATCTCAGCATTTTTTTAAGAAGTAAAGACTGATGTCCCCTGGATGTTGGTGAATAATTTAGTTTTGATGCAACTCCTCTCTGTTGCAGGAGTAAACCTGCTTGAGGTTGTTTTTGGCCTTTGTTGAGCCAGACTATGAAGTGTTTTGGTAGCTCTCCTCCAGCCATGGTGCTAGATAAACTAGGGAATAAATCTTTCTCTTTCCTCTCATCAGTGCTATGAAAGGCTACAACTTTTAATGATTCAGAAGTAAAATATGCAGCTTTGAAATGAATGCAGATTTGTATGGTAACTGGTTTACTGATTTTCCAGAGGAGGTATATTAAATTACATCAGTACAGTACTTGTAATATGTCCTACTGCATTTTTATGTGTACCATTTTTTCCCTACTCAGTTTGTTGGCCAGAACCTACAAGTTTGTTGGATATTTGAATAGCATGTGAGCAGTTGTATAAGTAGTATTACAGGACAGCCACATATCATCATATTGGGTAGTATCAAACTAGCTTTTTTTGATGCTGCAATTCCTAATTTGGAATAGAGGACATGCAAATGAAATAATCATTATGAACATCTGATTGTCTTTTTAGGACAATACTTCCTCTGATATTTTGTTTGATATACTAGAAACTTTCCTCAAATAACGGGGAGCAAGCTTAACTGCTCTTTCATCTTTATTTTGTTGAAACCATATTATATAAAGCTGGGCTGAGATGAAAATATCTAGAGTTAAAATACATCTTCAGTATGGACTCTTCTATAACAAACAATCAAAAACAAATTCTATCAATGTTTAAGGGTAAAATAGAATATGGCTTTCCACTAGTAATGTATAGTGTCGCAAATAAGGTAGTAATTACAGTTGAAATTATATAATGCTAATAGTTCTCTCTTCAGTTGTGAAATCTGATTAGAATTTTTCAGACAAGTTATACTTAATATGATTTCTTTTGACTGGGGAGGTGTAATAGGGTATTTCAAATGTGATGAGAGAACAGCAGATTCAAAGGAGATATTTTCTAGTCCTTGTCTAAGTAGTGCTATAATAGATATGTTCTGCCTTAGCAACCAACCAGGAATTGGATCCAAAGCAGAGATTGCCCTCAATCCATGTCTCATGTCTTTGATATGAAATGCACAAATCTTATTAGGGTTTCTTGAGGGTCTCTAGGCAACAAAGTTAATAAAGTTAGAAACAGAGGCTGGTAGACTCAATATGTAGTATACTCTTTAGTGATTTGAAGCTCGTTCAAGAAGTTGAACAAGTTGAAGTTGAACAGATGTTATTTGAACTGCTATTAGAGAGATTTAGAAGACTGTTCCCTTTTTTTCCCCTGATTTGTTTTCTTCCCTCTTTAGTTTATATATAATGAAAAAGGGTCTCAAGGAAATTATTTTCCACACAAAATGAGACCTCCTCATTTCAGATAGGGCACTGTGGTATTTGTGTGTAATATGGGTAGTTCCCAAATCTCAGAGACACTTATTTGATCATGCTGAACATAGGTGCCGACTTTCCCTCTAGCTGGGAGTAGTTGACCCCCAGGTGCTGCCTCCCTTCCACTCCTTCCCCCGAATTCTTCCTCTGCTTCACCCTGATCCATTCCATCCCTTTTCCCCAAGCCCCGCCCCTTGGCTTCTTCCCTGAACATACCCTTTTCCCATTCCTCCCCCTGCCTCTTGGAGCTTCTGGAACACTGGGAATCAGCTGTTCGCCAGGCTCCAGAAGCAGGGAGAGGCTAGGGGAGGAGTTGGTCAGCAGGGCTACCAGTGGGTGAGAGGTGCAGGGGGCAAGGAAGATAGGAGAAGGTGGGCTGCCTTAGGGTGCTCAATTAATTTTCCCCTGTGGGTGCACCAGCCCCTGAGCACCCACAGAGTTGGCATCTACGGCGCTGAATGCCATGCTCCTTCACTGCTCTGTCCCTCTGTCTCGAATGCCTGCAAGCTAAATCTTAGACTAACTGGAATATTGCAGCAATCTGTGGAGGCATATGGTATAATCTGAATAGTTTGTAGCTGATATACCTCGGGTTTTGATGCAGCGTTGACAAATGGAGAATTTGAGGTAAGACAGTTGCGAGATAAGAGTCACAAACCAATAAACAAGGATCTAAAAGTGGTTTAAGGGGACAAGTTATGTACATAAATCAACAATCTGAAAGAGGGCTTTGGAGCTGCAAGAGAGCAATTGATGGTCAAATGGGACCTCAAGTTGATGACCAATTAGTTGGTAGAGAAAAATAGCAACAGAGATGGTGATAGAATCCAGTGAAGGTACCCTCAGTATAAACAGACAAAGCCCTTTATTATTTTTTAATCAAGGTTGCTAAGTAACATTAAAGGTGAAACATGCATACCAAAGAACATTACATCCAACTTCCCCCCACACACACATACACACAGCCCAAGGCATATAAAAACATAAAGTCATCATTGATAAAATCTTTGTGTTCTCTGCAGATTAGAGGTGTGGTGAATAATCAAGAGGACAGGTCACTGACACAGAGTTGTCTGGATTGCTCAGTAAGCTGGGCACAAGCAAACAATATGTATTTTAATGAGGCCAAATGTAAATGTGTGCATCTTGGAATGAAGAATATAAAATATATTTACAGAATCAGAGAGTCTATCCTGGGAAACAGTGAGTCGGATTTTTCTAAAAGAGATGCTCTAGTTTAAACAGGAATCATTTCAGGTAACTCCTTTGGTCTCTGTTGCACAAGAGGTAAGACTAGGTTACAGTGGTCTTTCTGTCAATTGTAGACAAGTGATAAATATTCAAATATCCTAACAGCTTATATGACCCTTTCAATAAATATGCAAAAATATAACACAACACATTCCAAAGATAACCTTTACTCTGCCCCCACATTGAGTCCACAGAGTAAATTCCTGAAAGGGGCTGAGTTGAGCATCTTGTAGGATCAACATCGTAAATGGTAAACTCTTCCGGTCATAGACCTTGCCTCCTCCATGTCCAGTCAAATATTAAGAACCTCATCCAAAGCCCATTGGAATCAATGGAAAGGCTATCAGTCACTTCAGTGGATTTTAACTCTGGCCTAAGTGCAATCAGCACTCAACAAATAGTAACTAGAAAAAGTAAGTGAACCAAATAAGTATCAATGCCCAAACCAAATCTCAAGAATTTTGGAGTGCATTTTGCCACATTCTCAGTTGTTAATCAGTCTGAACAAAGGAGAAGTCTGTGCATTTGACCATGTCTAAAGCACATGCTAGCTGGCATGTTTTAATAAACACCTCTTTAAACACTAGAATGTATTGGGCTTCATGCCTCTTAAAAACATGTTAGCTGGTTGTGGTTGAAGTGAGAGGTGTGGTGAGTCTAGAGATTTCCACAACCAGCTAACACTTAAAAGAGGGAGAGAGAGAGAGAGCACATGCTTTGTTGAATTGATGCCTTAACAAACATGTTTTAAACACTGGAGTAAACAGGTTTTAAGTGCTAGTTGAAGTCAATGGGGCTTAGGTTTACATTTGAAGTTAAGTATGCACTCAAGCGTTTTGCTGAATTGTGGCGGAAAATGTGCTATGAAATTTCTTTTCAAATACAGTCTTTTTTCTTAGTCTAGATGTGGCCTTATTTAGAGCAAAGGGAAAATGACTTTAGAGCTAGTTTTACGTCTCCTCTACTTCTACTTCAGAGAAATGAAAAAAATAAGTAAGAGTATGGGAAAAGAAGATGTGATTTGGAACAAATTATTCCTTTCACACAGGAGTCAGGCAAGAAGACCATTGCCTCGAGTAGGCTCTGTAAAACCTTCTCTACTGGGAATTATTCATTACTGTGGGAACTTAAAGCCTATGTGTGTACCAAGAAACCTGTTGATGGGCGCAGTATATAAATCAAATGAATAATAGAATTTAACTGAAAATTGGCAGGCATGCTTTTTCCTTTAATCTGTGCAACAGTCAAGAAAAAATTTTGTTTGAGGTTGGAAAAAGCCAACCAGTTTTGTTTGTTTTTTTTAGTGTCATAAAAAGTTTTTAAAAAAATCTAAGTTCTGTGTTAGATAAAAGCCATTGTATCTAGGTAATTCAGAAACATGTTAAGTCAGAACTGGGGGCTATGCCTGCCCATTGAATGTGGTTTCCTGTTGTTGATTAATTAACAGAAACGTTTCTTTGGTAGTTAATAGAAGTGGGCATAGTTTGTATGTTTGTTTATTGTTTCCACTAGAATTTTGTAAATCAGTGTCACATAACGAAGCTTTTCTAGTGCTCTCACACATTAGCTGAAATAGGCGGATCCTGTTGTCTACTCT